GTGTAAAGAAGCAATAAGACGAGAGCAAGCTGTTAGGATTTAAGAGACTAAGCTCATAAGAAAGAGTAAACAATCACTTGGTGATTGAATCTCCTTTTACCCACATAAAGGGAACTCGTTCTAAAGAGGAAGAGACCATCAACTTGTGATGGAATCCACACAAATAACCAACAATATCTCCGAATATACTATGTAGTAAATCGGTTATATGAAGGAGAAAAGCTCTAGTTTGAGACTAATCCTTGTCTAGTAACACAACACTAGAGTTTGTGTACTTAAGAGAAATAGGATTTGAGAATCAGTAATCTAGAGTCTAAGGACTAAATAAAGAAGAGTTTAGACTATATTTAAGAGTAAGATTAACAAGAAATGGGCTGCCCTAAGGCAGACCTAAACGGTTTAACTTTAACTCTCTACATTGTTAACTTTAAGTTAAACACAAGTAAAGTAGATTAAGCTAAAACGTTTTGTATCAAGACTTGTCTTTTCTTATTAATGTGCTCTTCTTCTTGTGTTAATTTTACATTGAGAAACACTCTCTTTATATAGGCAAAGAGAGAAAGCGTTTTCTACACAAAGCTAAAGGAGTGAAAGTGACATGAGGAGAGATGGTTCCCTTGTCTCTTGTGGTGAAAGCGACCTGTCCTCTCCTTGTCCCAAGCTTAGGACCACATGTGACTTTCTCCAACGGCTCTATGAGAGATTTTGTGCTTCTTAGGTCTTCTAGAAGGTCTCTCATGGGCTTCTCTTATGTGAGCCCTTTCTTTGCACATTATTATCTTCTTCACTTAGTGACACCAATCTTGCACATAGATTATCATCACTAAGTGACCCGAGTTTTGCACATTCTTGTCTTCATGGATAGACTTCATTTTGCATCCTCGGTCTTGATACTTTTGACACCAATTATGCACATTAGGTCTTGATAATTTTGACACTAATTTTGCACCTTGGGTCTTGGTCACTTTACACCAATTTTGCACTTCCGGTGTTTCGTCTTCGGCCTTGTCTTGAGAACATCGGCCTTGACTCTCCTCATGAGTTTACACCAATTTTGCACTTTGGTGTCTTGGTGACTTTACACGAATCTTGCACATCCGTGTCTCGGTGAGATCTTCGGCCTTGTCTTGATGACTTCGGCCTTGACCCCCTTCTACCTCTTCTTCTCTTTCTTGGAGATGGCTCGGCCTCTTCGGCCTCTCTCTCCTTTTCTTCATACACTCTAATACAAGCATCCTCCCTTCTTTGGTTCAAGAGGGGCCTAAACATATCAAGAATTCTATTCTTAGCGCTTATCATCTCGGATGCTGATGTTTCAAAGACAGACTTCCAGTTCCACAAATAAAGAATGTAAAGCTTTACCGCTACTCTCTTAAATCCATTCCCCTCTGAAACATCTTTGGCCGACCGAAACATCTCCTCTAGCTTCTTCAGCTCTTGGTTGTAGTGTTCAAAATCCGATGTTTTCACTAACTCACCAAAAGAGCTTTCTCTCTTCCTAAGAATCAAAACAATGCGATCCAATTCTCTGATTCCAAAAACAAAATTCTGGCTAGAATTTACCATAAGTTCCCATTGTTTCGATTTGCCACCAGCCTGATAGACTCCATTCTTGGGTTTGATTTCAAACACATATATCATAACAAAAATCATGTAATCTCTATCCGAAACAATGGAGCACGGTAAATCATGTAAACAACTCGAAAGAAAAGGATGGCCACTTGCACTACATCAGTAGTCTTCTTACATGGTATAAAATAGGCCATTTTGGAAAACCGGTCAACCACCACAAATATGGAATCAAATTCTTGTTGAGTACGCGGAAGACCGAAGACAAAAATCCATACTTATGTCCGTCCAAGGTTGTGTAGGAACAGGAAGTGGCATGTATAAGCGGACATTTGACGCGTGACCTTTAGACTTTTGGCACGTAACACATCTCTCAACAAACCTCTCAACATCACGAAGGCCAAAAATAGGAAGACGACACCAGTTGTAACATCCGATCTTGACCCACATGACCTTCATTATGAAGTTCTGAGATGAGCTGCAAGCATAGACTACAGTCAGGTATAGATAAACGGAAATCCTTGAACAGGAAGCCATCATGAAGTGTATAATCTCGTGATGAACCAGCCTGGACTTTGTGAAGAATGCGACCAAAGAAAGGGTCTATTGGATAAAGATCGCTGAACGTACTAAGGCCTGGAACAGAGACGTTTAACACATCAAGGAGTGCATGGCGTCTACTTAGAGCATCTGCAACACGGTTACTAGCTCCAAATGGGTGCTTGATGACAAAAGTAAATTGATGCAAATAGCCAATCCACGAAGCATGCCTAGCCAACACCTTATCTTGCGTACTTAAATGTTTAAGCGCATCATGATGCGTATAAAGAACAAACTCCTTGTGAAATAAATAATGTCGCCAATTCTTAATTGCTTGAACAATAGCATAAAAATCCAAGTCGTAAGTGATGTAACGTGAACGAGAGCCAGACAATTTTTCACTAAAAAAGCAATGGGGCGTTGTCGCAGACTTAAAACGGCACCAATGCCTGTCTTCGATGCATCACAATGTAACTCAAAACCAAAGAGAAATCCGGGAGAGCCAAAATTGGAGACGCACTCAACTTCTTTTTAATCAAATCGAATGTCGTAGAAGCAGCTGGAGTCCATAAGAAAGATCCTTCCTTGATACAGTCAGTGATAGGTGCCATTAAAATACTGAATTGTGGCACAAAACGACGGTAAAAAGAGGCTAGGACATGAAAACTATGAGTGTCAGTGAGCGTTTTCGGTTCAGGCCAGAATTTAATAGCAGAAAATTTTCCCGGATCCACAACCAAACCCTCAGCCGAGACTATATAACCAAGAAATTCTACTTCCGGTTAACCGAATTCACATTTCTTAACTGTGGCATAGAACTTGTCACGACGTAAGACAACAAGGACCTCGCGCAAATGCTGCATGTGATCCTCAAGAGACACACTAAATATCAAGATGTCGTCAAAGTAAACAACCACAAATTTGCCGATTAAAGGTCGAAGGGCTTCATTCATAATACGCATAAAAGTGCTAGGTGCATTCGATAAGCCGAAAGGCTTTACTAACCATTCAAAAAGATCCTCACGAGTTTTAAATGCAGTCTTCCACTCATCTCCAGGACGTATTCTTATTTGATGATAACCACTTTTCAAATCCAATTTGGAAAACACGCAGGTCGTTCCAATCTGATCAAGTAAATCGTCTAGACGTGGGATCGGAAAGCGGTAACGGACTGTAATCTTGTTTATAGCATGGCTATCAACACACATGCGCCATGAACCTTCTTTCTTTGGAATAAGTAAAGCCGGAACGGCACAAGGACTAAGACTTTCACGCAAAAAACCCTTAGACACCGATTCTTCAACTTGTCGTCGAAGCTCCTCGTGTTCACTTGGACTCATCCGATAGTGGGATCGATTGGGAAGAGACGCATCAGGTACAAAATCAATGCGATGTTGAATATCTCGCAACGGTGGTAAACCTATGGGATGATCTTCAGGAAACACGTCAGAGAAATCATGAATCACGTCTTGAAATGCAAGAGGAATAAAACGTTCTATTTTAACAGGCGCAAGAGTCGGTAGCATTACAAGAACAAGACCTGCATCACTCATTTTGACTTTAAAGTGATGCTTCTATAGAAGTAAAATTGAGCTAGATGGCGGAGAGACTTGAGCAGGTAACGACGGCTTCAACGTAAAGTGACGATTTTGAAAAGTGAAGCTGTAGGTGTTAAGAAACCATCATGTGAAACCTTACGATCAAACTCCCATGATTGACCCAACAATAAGTGGCAAGCATCCATTGACACCACATCACAATAAAGCTGGTCTTTATAAGCTTCACCAACTGAAAACGCCACAAGTGCCTGACGAGTAACATTCACGTCATTTCCCTTTTGTAACCAAGCCAACTTGTAAGGAACATGATGTGGCTCATCAAAAATACTCAATTTTTTGACCGCTGACTCTGCAATAACATTCTCACAACTACACGAGTCAATTATGAAAGTACAAACCTTACCACCAGTAGTGCATCGCGAATGAAAAATATTATAGCGTTGTGGAGGCTCGGATATGCTACGTGGTGCCAAATAGGAACGTCTTAACATCAAAAGTGGACATGAATCTGCTTTAACTCCTCGAGAAGAACCTCATCTGTAACATCCTCATCGTATATACTTCTAAATCACGCCCAGTATTATCAAGCAATAATTCACGTCGATTACATGTCAGCCAGATCGATTGGCGATGGCCCTATTCACCGCAAGAAAAACATCTCAAAGTCCCTGGTCGTGATTGACGATTTGTGTCTATCGGTTCTCCGTTTGGTGAAGGAAGCAAAGTGGTGCGAGGTGTACGTGAAGACGAAGCACTCCAGCCCGAGAAATTGCCTCTTTAAGTTTGTGTCTCTTTTCCTTCTTCTATAAGACTTTCAAAAAAATGTGACAAAATCGTCAACTTTCATTTTTACCCGGAGACCAAACCTATCAAAGTCTGAGACATTTTTAGAGAGTTTCGTTCATCTAAGGATCTGCACCAAATATTGTTAGAGGGTAACGTTTAGATATGCATACATAGATGCTGAAAAGCATCCAAATATTCATACACATCGTCGTTAATCAACGAGGAGACCTGCAAAATTTGGAGAAGTTGATGGTGATCATCAGAGGCATCCATAGATGCTGATACTTACCTCGACGCACATATCTTATAGGTGCAAATCTTGTAAGCCAAGGAACAAGAAAATTACACTTAAATTGTTACTTGAAACATGTAAACGTGTTTACACTCACACATGATTTTTAATCCCCAATGCTACTCATGATATTTGTCTTACACTTACGTGATGTAACAGAAAATTTTGAAACCTAAAAAAATATATAAGCTGCATATATAAAAGCCAAACACCAATATGCAACAACAGTCAATACATAAATGAATATCATTGAAATCTAAGAAACTTTGATTCATATATGTAAAGAAGCAATAAGACGAGAGCAAGCATCCTCCCTGGCTTGGATCAAGAGAGGCTTAAACATCTCAAGAATTCTATTTTTAGGGTTGATCACTTTCACCTTAGGTGGTGAGGTTTCAAAGAGAGGCTTCCACAAATAAAGAATGTTAGACTTTATCGCTTCTCTCGAAAATCCATACGCCTCTGAAACATTTTTGGCAGACCTCAACGTCTCCTCTAGCTTTTTCAGCTCTTGGTTGTAGTGTTCAAAATCCGATGTTTTCACTAACTCACCAAAAGAGCTTTCTCTCTTCCTAAGAATCAAAACAATGCGATCCAATTCTCCGATTCCAAAAACAAAATTCTGGCTAGAGTTTACGATAAGTTCCCATTGTTTCGATTTGCCACCAGCCTGATAGACTCCATTCTTGGGTTTGATATATGTTTCAAACACATATATCATAACAAAAATCAGCCTTCCTACCACGGGAGCGGTAATACCTTTTCCTGCATCCTTCAGTAGCCAAAGACAGAACAGTAACATAGAACGTATGTCATCAGATAATAAGACCATTGCTTCAGCCACAAAGAGCGAGAACTCAACTCCGAGTCGTATAGCCTCATCTTTCTGCATCTCCTTCTCAATGATAATGTTAGTCTCTTTACTGTAAGGAGAATATCTAGACTTTTGTAATTTCTTGTTGTGACGCGCAACACGGTGACTCAGTGACATAGATTCCATCTTTTCGGAGATGATCGAGATGTCTGAAGTATTCATTGAGGAGGTCTCGAGTTACAGTGAGAGAAGAACCTTAAAACAAAAAAAAAAAACTGAGAGAAGAACCGTAGATCGTAACTTTAATCTTCAATACGAAACGCCTAGATTGATATCAAATCCGACTTCCTTGAAAGAATAGTAACGATGCAATCGTTGTAGTGTTCTCTGAAAACCTTGCCAATCAATCTAACCTTATTGACAAATAATAGAAAGCATATATAAAGAGGACAAGAAAAGGAAATAAGTTTTTTACATTCTTAAAAAAAAGGAAATAAATATATTTTTTTGCCGGCAAGGAACAGGAAATAATTTGAAGTTCTATATTAGAGAAAAAGATTATTTTTTTTAAATCCCTTTACGATTTGGGTTTAAAAACATTAAGGGGATTATGATTAACCTCGTCTTTGACAAATATATAATAACAAAAAAGGCTTATGGATTCTTTTTCTTTAGGTATCAAAAGGTATATCCCGTTATAGCATATAAGAGCACCTCCAACGTGAGTTTTTTAACAAAGTAACTAACAATAAAAAAAAAATCAAAAAATAATTAAAAAATTATGAGAGAGAGGAGACAGGGTTTATAAAAGTTCTTGTTGAAGAGACGATATCAGAGGAAATATTTTTTTTTTGTCATATGGATTTATTATTTATTGCAAATTATGAGAACTGTTGCATAGACGATTCTACAACGGACGACCCTTATTAGATTCACAACCTCTTTCACCTCCTTCACCTTCTTCTTAATGCTCACCTCCTTCTCTGTGTAGAATCCTGGCGAACGGTAATAATTGCACATCGCTACAAATAGGCATGGGCATTCGGGTACCCGTTCGGGTTCGGTTCTTTTTTTCGGGTATCGGATCTATTCGGGTAGGGGGTCGAGACCCATTCGGGTATTCTAAAAATTCGGTTCGGGTTCGGTTCGGGTTCGGGTCGGTTCGGATATTTTAATAAAAAAGCAAAATACCCAAAAATAACCAAAAATACCCGAAATATTTACTCGTATATACCCAACCGAAATACCCGATTTCTCAAAAATACATTGGTTACTCTTTGCCCAAATATAACCAAAAATATCTAAAAATACTAAAAGTACCCAAAAGAAAACTACATCATTAGTTACTTTTTAACCAAATATATCCAAATGTATCCGAATTACTCAAAAATACCTAGTATATTCAGATTTATGATTGTAATTTCGGGTTTCCGATATTATAAGTATAAATATAACTAATATTTTTAGGTGTATATTTGTATTCGGATACCTACGGATATTGGATTCGGTTCGGGTTCGGTTCGGGTTTTTTTCGGGTAGGAGGTCTAGGATCCATTCGGGTATTTTTAAAAATTGGTTCGGGTTTGGTTCGGATATTTTTTCGGGTTTTTCGGTTCGGGTATTCGGTTCCGGTTATTTTGCCCAGGCCTAGCTGCAAACTTGCCTCTAATAATCTGCAAATTTATTAATAAATCTTAGTAGCTAGGACTCGAACCCTAGACCTCTAGATGTAGAAGCATTAATGAACCATTAGTCAACCAATGGGCCAAAAGAGCTTCCACTGGTCTAACTGTATTAAAAAATTATAATATAATTGTAGAATTAAAATTTTATTGGGTAGATTTATAAGTGGTCTAATTGTATCAAAATAACAGGGAGTAAAAAAAATTCGAAACTCTCACCGTCTGAGACCGATTGAGGAAATTGGGTAGATTTGTAGTTTTTAATCATTATTTGGTGTCACAACTCACAAGCTTTCTTAAACTAATGATTTTATTTCATCGAATTTTGAAGGCCAAGTGATTTGGGATACAGTTGACCGGTTCATCCCAAACGTCTCTTCAATGAGTGAGATAGATTCACCAGAGCCAAGCCTCCTACCCTAATGGCTCTGAAATTTACTGATGATGTCACTCCTGCCTTGCACCTTGATCTATGCGTTTTTATCAATTAACTAGATTTTAACCCGCGGTATACCGCGGGATGATTTAATTTTAAAGTTAGTATAAAAATATTTTGTAAATTGTATCACCTTATAACATATTTATTTATATTATAGTTTACAATTGTTATTAAGTAACGGTATACCACGAGTCCACGAGATAATTATTAATAAACTGAGGATTTAACCCGTATTAAAGCGGTATATAAATATTGATTCAAATTCGTCCGCCATATAAATCATTTCCGAAATATAACCCGTTCCATAATTTCTTAACCCGTCCTGTGATTTGTATTAAAAAAAATAAGGATTAAATCTGTATTGAAGCGGCGGATTAATGATATTTTAATCTTTTTATTATTGTTGATTCAAAAACCCGTCCCGCCAAACTCATCCCGCCAAAAAACTCATTTATTTTATTAATGTTCTTATTTATGATATGATTCTGAATCATTGTCTAAATATTTTAATCGATTAATGTTCTTATTTATGATATGATTCTGAATCATTGTAGAACGTTGAACACACATTTTCGTCAATTGGATAATATATGTCCGTTTTTAAAATTTCGAATCACAGTATATGCAGAAAAAAAAATTGATTTTTTTTTTACTTTATGTATTATATGATAATTCAAAACAGTTAAAAACAAATCAAACAAAGATGATAGGAGAATCATAATTATAAATCTTAATCAAATCTTCTAAAAATCTAAATTATTAAATATGGAATATCCGGTGTATGAGTTGGGTTAAATATAACCCGACCCAACAAATTTTTTGTGAAGGAATTTTTAAAATGGGTCGGATATCCGATATACCCGAAAGCTTTTTTACCCACCCGTCACAAAAAGTGATGCGATTATACTAGTATAGATAATCTAAATGCATCAACGATCTATCACGGAAGTATTTTAGATGTCGAACCACAAAGAATAAAGATTGCAACACTAAAAATGCGATATTCAAAATAATCTAGAGGAAATGATTTTTATGTTTTTGTTTTGATGAAAAGATAAGAAATGTAAGAAGTAAAATAAAGAAAAGCATTGGACCATAGGTTTAACTAACATGAGAATGGATTAACAATCAAACAATGATGCAAGAGGTTGAATTAAGCACCATCCTAGAACATGGAACTCACAATTATGATTTATGACTAATCCACTTCCGTGGTACTAAATACTAATCACTTCATTAATCATCTAATTATCAACAACTTCCGTTCGCAATAAGATGACCAATGAGCATTGAAAACAAGTCCAATTAGTTCAATAAACACTCTAATCATCAACTCTCGTTGGCTAGATATGTAAAGCTCATAAAGATTTGGTTCAAGCATTTTCACAAACACCTTCCGGGCATGAATTGCTTAAGGTCTAGATTTTGAGTGATCAAGTCAAAACTACCATTAAGAGCAACCTAGATGAATGATCTAACAATAAGCAACCTAAATCATCATCATCTAACCATCAAATTATCCTAATCTAGCATAACCCATGATCCAATAAAGTGGATAGAGATGAAGAATCCTTCACTAAAGTGGCATGAATTGTTGAAGATCAATCCAAAATATCAAGAAGAGAGTTCGGATCTAAATCCAACTCTAGAGAAGAAAACTTAGGTTGCAAAATGTCTAAAAATTACTTAAATACAAAATAGAATCGAACCGGGTTGACCCGAGATAAACCGGGTCAAACCCAAAAATTTGAAAAGGCTTCTATAGATGCATCGGTCGATTTCTCCCTCGATTGCTTCTCGTCTGCGGCCTGTTATCGTCCCAATCGACCATTAAATCTACCAACAGGTCCATTGAAATGTTCAGTGGCTCCTCCTTTGTTCTTTTCCGCGCCAGAGTGATATATCTCCATTAAAACCACTATAATTATTGCATCGAAGCTCTGTTTCGCTTAAAATCACCTCCGTTGGAAAGATAACTCAATTTCCTATAACTTGTATGAAGATTCCTAAAGCTAAATCGCAATGAAAAACTTCCATCTGAGTCGATCTTTGAGGGACTTCGGACTGGTTCTGAATCATCAATTCTCTTCTTTGCATCCAAATGTGTGTCGTCCATTATTTGCACCTAAAATTGCTCAAAAGACACACAAAACACACCAAAAGACACACAAAGACACTATAGGACTTCTAAAATGGAAGAAGACTCACTTGGACACTAAATGCAACAAAACACAATGAAAATACTAATGAAACACAATAAAATGGATCTTAACAACCATGATAAAGCGGTAAATATAGAGTATATCACACATCAGTTTCATATCCAAGTCATGGGGGATGATTTGTTAGCGTTGAGAATTTAAGTTCTTGATGATTGATAGTTTTGTTCCGATGTAGTAACAAATACATGTGGTGAAAAGCGATGGATTGTTTTGTTTTTATTCTTCATCTTTGTTTTTGATATCTTCGGCAAATTATCTAATTTGATGACATATCAAACTGATAACCATTGGTACTTAAATAATAAAGCAGGAAACTGTTACTGTCCACAATTAACAACACCAAACTTATCTTATTATGGAACATATAATTATTATGACTGATATAGATGATAGGGGCTGCTGTGCGAACACAAACCCCTTCTCCCACAAATAATGACGTAGGCTCTTCTACTCGGGAAGACCTTAGGCTAAGCAAGTCACTAGTCTAAGCCACTCGTCTTCTTGATCCAGAGTTGACTCTGCCAGGTAAGTAATTTGCTCGAACCGTCCACTTCTCTATTTATACTCCTGCTTCCCCCGTCATTGCTTTGGGTAGAAGGGGTGTGGGACTTTTTTTGTTTGGGGTCAACAACATGTGACAAATTCAATTGTAAACGTAAACAAATAATTCACCAATGAAATTAATGTACACCTTATTCAATTGTGTGTCGTAGTTAGCTTAGACGATTGTGCTAAGAAACTTCGATTTAACAAGAAATAATGAAAAAAATATTGACGCGTACGTGGATAAGTCAGACATGTACGTTTCTGTACAAACCCATCAAAAGAGAATTAAAAAAAAAAAACAAACAAAATCAACATATATCGTAATCTCATATGCTGTTCTCTAGCTGTAATTTAAATCCCTTAAGATATATACATTTTTGGAATATTGTTCAATTCTATTTTTTTTAAGCCCATTTAAATTGTCTTTAACTACTATTTTAAAAATATCCTCAATACTCTTCTATATCTAATATTGTATTAAAGTTTTCGTGTGATTGATTCTTTCAGAAAATACACTGATATAATTATTTTGGAATGATATGTATGTGTTGCTATCGCTAGTCTTTTTTGGTTTGACAAAGTGGTTGGACCATACACCGACACATTACGTGTTGAAACTT